CTCTCGGGTCTCCAGACAGATCTAGTGCGGTTTGCTCCCCTCCTTCCCCACAAGCTGTCTTGGTAGGAAGAGGTGCTCCTCAACCTCTTCCACAGTCACCCAATCTCTGTTGTACCTGCCAGGCTTCTTCTTGCTGAGAGCCACAGCCGAGTCGGAATGGCCCCTGGCATTTTGCCAATAGTATTGGTTGAGAGGCGAGCCATTAAGATGATGCTGGATTGATTCAATTGTATATCAGACTTTACTGTCCGGTAATAGGATGGCTCTTGCTGTGACGGCGCCCACTACTTTGGAGTTCCCGTTGAGTTCTCAGGGGGTTTCGAGAGGGAGTGCACGCAGCCAGGGGGAGGGATTTCCAGTTGGTGTATGGTGTGTCCCGGGAGAAGGCCGCGTGCATGGCGTTGGCGGGAGTGCGGAGAATAAAGGAGTTCCTGTTTTGAACCTACAAGGCTGTGTGGCGGCTCAGTTATTTTGTGCCCAGCCAGACTGCGGCATCTTCTGAAAGAGAAGATTTTCTTTTAGCACTCAGAACCCTGGGAACTAGGATACGTGCTGGCCTGGGATCTCTGCCAACAAGGTGTGGTGGGGATGACAGTCTATACATGGTTCAGGAGGATTTTTCCCACATCACTAACTTCTCACCCTTGTCTGTACCAAGTACCCAGCCTGACCCCATTGAGTGCAGAAACAAACAGGCCACAGATGGCACCCACCAAAGGTGTACTGTGGAAAGATGACTTGTGGGGGTCCCAAGCTGGGATGAGAGAAGCGTAAAATACAGCTGTTGCTGCACGCGACTAAGCCAGTCACGGTCACTCCAGGAGAACTGGGCTGGCACGAAATAATCACCCCAAAACAAATACCTTTCTCTTTGGGTTCTGTGACAGTCCCTCTGACCCAGCTCCCATAAAGGAGGCAAGGCAGGCAAGAATGAGAGGGAGCATGCCTGGAACCTGCGGTCTATTGGGGAGAAGCCATTCAAAGGAGGCAAGGGTCATGTTTCAGGGGGTTGAGTCTAGCTTCGAATGTCTTGCTGTTAGCAAATTGACTGACATCTTGGAAGGTCACGCAAAAGGATACACACGTCGGCAGCCCAGAGAGGCAATGTCAGTCCAGTCTACTTAGTGCTCAATGCTCACAGTTCACACACACAGAACAAGCCTGGCTTGCCACTTATAGCCACAAGTAGTTTGTCTAGTAGGACAAAGTGGTCAACCTGGAACTACAGAAGGAAGGGAGTGCAGAGCAGGGCAAAAGTCCACATCCCCTGGCCCCATTTCTTGGATCCTAATCTACCTACCTCAGTCCACCTCAACACCCTCCAGTAGTAATACAATGTTACCATGTGTGTAACCTGCTAATTTAACAACATATCAGCAAATTTAATCCAATAATATATAAAAAGAATTATACACACAATGAAGTGGAATCTATTCCAGCTATACAAAGCTGGTTCAACATTTTAAAAAATCGATGAAATTCATCGTATCAACAGACTAAAGAAGGAAAAAAAATCATATGATCACATTAATAAATACAGAAAGAACATTTTACAAAATCGACAGCCATATTTTAAAAACCACTTGCAACAAACTAGGAACACAGGGGCACTTTCTCACCTTGATAAATATCTGCAAAAAACCTATAGCTTATATCATGCTTAATGGTGGAAATTCTTCCCAATTTGATCCATAGATTCACTGCAATCCCAATCTATCTCAGCAAATTGTTTTGTGAACAATAACAAACGGATTTTAGAGTTTATGTAGAGGCAAAGATCTAGAATAGCCAACACGATATTGAAAGAGAAGAATGAGAATGGAAAACTGACACTATCTCACCCCAAGGCTTACACACAGCTACAGTCATCAAGACAGCGTGGTAGGGGGAAGCTGGCAGACAACTAGACCAGTGAGAACGAGACCCATAGAAATGTAATCAAACTGATCTTTGTTGCAGTTCCTTAGCTCCTTTGCCAGAAAACTTGAGGCTGAAACAACTGGACTCCAGTGTTTTAAAACATGAAACGTAGTGTTTACGTCCTCCACAAAAATTAACTCAGATGAATCAAAATGTAAAACACGAAACCCATAAAATTCCGAGAAGATAATATGGGAGAAATTTAAGAAGATTAGGTTTCATGATGACTTTTTAGATTTAATGTCAAAGGAGTAATTCATGAAGACCCAATTGGTAAACTGGACTTCATTAAAATTTGCCGCAGTCTGGCTGGGCACAAAATAACCAAGCCACCACAAAAGCCTTGTAGATTCAAACAGCAACTCTTTATTCCCGAACTCTCGCCGGCACTCTACACGCACGTTCTGGGAAAATCCACTCCCTCCACCGGGCTCTGCATACCAATACTCTCAGAACCCCGCGAGAACTCAACGGGAACTCAGAAGGAGCGGGCGCTTGAGGCAGCAGGATCAGGATCCGCCCTAATCCTGGAGCCGCCCTATTCCTAGCAGGATCCACCCTAAACCTGGAGCAGGGTCACCTTTCAAACCAAAATGTCATGCGTCATTCCTACTTGGCTATGGCTCTCAGCAAAAATTAAAAGTCCTGCTCTGCCAAAGACAGTCAAGAGAATGAAAGGACAACCCACAGGCAGAGAGAAATTATTTACAAAAGACATCTGATAAAGGATTGTTATCTAAAATACACAAAAAACTCTTAAAATTCAACAATAAGAAAACAAACACCCCAATTTAAAAATGGGCAAGAAGATCTAAACAGACACTTCAACTAGGAAAATATACAGATGGCAAATAAGTATGTGAGAAGGTGCACATCATCCTAGGTCACCAAGGAATTTGAAATTAATAGGGTAATGAGATATCACTTCATGCTTATTAGAATGGCAAAAATGCAAAACACTGATAATGCCATATGCTGGTGAGGATGTAGAGCACAGGAAGTCTCACTCTTGGCTGGTGGAAATGCACAACCACACAGCCACTCTGGAAGACAGTTGTAAAACTAAAAATCCTCTTACCATATAACCCAGCTTCTGGCATTTACCCAAATGAATTGAAAACCTGTGTTTATAGAAAAATCTGCACATAGGTCATAACTGCTAAAACTTGGAAGCAACCAAGATGTCCATCAGCAGGTAAATGGAAAAATGAACTATGGACATTGGGATACTGTTTAGTGCCAAAAAAGAAATAAGCTATCAAGCCATGGAAAGATGGGGAAACTTTAAATGCATATTACTAGTGAAAGAAAAAAATCTAAAAAGACTTTATGATTCTAATCTAAGTGGTGCCAGGTATTAGAGGAGAAGTAGGAATGAATAGATGGCGTGTGGAGGATTTGGGGGGCTGTTAAACTCTTCTGTATGACACTATCATGTTAACTACATATTATCATATGTTTTCAAAACCTACAGAATGTATAGCTCCAAAAGTGAACTTCAATGTAAACAACAGAATTTTGTGTGACAATACTCAATGTAGTTTCATCAATTGGAGAAAAGGTATCATTCTGGTGAGTGATACTGATAGTGGAGGAGGCTGTATGGGGGATGGGAAAGGGGTGCATGAGAACTCTGTACATTCTGCTTAATTTTGCAGTGAATCTTAAATTGCTCTTAAAAGTCTATTTATTTTAAGCTATAATCAAAACAGGGCTGGGGGTGTAGCTCAGTGTTAGAGTGCTTGCCTAGCACGTGTGATGCTTGCATAGCACTGGGTTCAATCCTCAACACCACACAAAAACAAATAAATAAATAAATGCATTGTGCCCATCTACAACTAAAAAAAAAAAAAATTTAAAAACGAGATAACCAAAACAAAAGTAACCATGTTATAAAGAAAAATAAATGGCTGTCTTTAGGAAAGGTGAGAAACAAGTGTTAGTGTGGAGAATGAAGGGATAAAAGTGAATGGTAAATTAATGAGCCGGGACCTTGTATTGAACCAATAATGATAAAATGCCATGAAATGCCAGGCACAGTGGTGGCACATGCCTGTAACCTCAGCGACTGGGGAGGCAGAGGTAGGAGGATTCCAAATTCCAGGTCAGCCTCAGCAACTTAGCAAGACTCTGTCTAAAAAAAAAAAAATAAAAGAAAGGGGCATCTAGTATCCAGCCCCCTCAAAAAAAAAAAAAAAAATCATGAGATGGGGAGTAACTCAATACTGCAATACTGTTCATTTGCAATCCGAATGAAAAGGAGACGATTTATTGCATGTGCTCTAAAAGCATATCAGGTTACTGGTTGTATTTCAGCCCAGTAAACATTGATTGTATCCTCACGTGTTCATATTTTGAATATAACCGTCATGAGTAGAAAGTAATCATCTCCGAAAAATACGATGAAAAAGTAGCATCTGAATTCCTTTTGCCCTACACAGTATTCCCACATTAACATTTCTTGTTTTTTCTCTCTCTCCACCATACTTAACGCTAACAAGCTCCCCAACCCTGCGTCCTGCACCGCAGAAGAGGTCCAAGGATTTCCTTTCCAGCCCGCATGTCCTCACCCTTGTCGCCAACAGGTGGCGCTCCGGCGCCATAACTGATATTACTTTGCTCTTGCCCGGTTCACCTCTAGCAAGGGCAGCGGAGCCCGGTCTTCGCTTCGCTTCCTCTTCTTTGGTCTCCGGGAATTTACCTTTTAAAGCCTGCTGGATAAAAATGCCCAGAGTCTCTTTTGAGTTTTTCCTGGGCAGGAAACAAAACCGAGGCACAAGTCCTAATGGCTTTCGTTTCTGGAAGGGAGAATGATTCTGTAGGGAGACTAACCCAGTCCTGGGACCCATTAGCAATGTCGGGAAGAAGGAGACGCAGCGCCGTGGACTCCGCGGCTAGAAGGCTGGCCGCGTGACCCTAAGGGCGCCCTGGGAACACCTGCACCGGGTATCCCTCCTGGACTCGAAGCCTCGCCCATTCCTTCGCCGCGGCGCCAGGGGGCGCAGCAGGGCAGCGGGAGCGCGGCGCGTGCGCGCTGGGCGAACTGGGGGACTCCGGTGCCGCCATCGGCCGCGGACAGCATGGAGACCGCGGCGGGCGCCCAGGCTGCCGGTAGCGCAGGGCCGAGGGAGCGAGGCCTTTGCGTGCTGTGCGGCCTGCCTGCAGCGGGAAAATCGACCTTCGCGCGCGCCCTGGGCCGCCGGCTGCGGCAGGAGCGAGGCTGGACCGTGGGCGTCCTCTCCTACGACGACGTCCTCCCAGACGCCTCCCTGGATTCCGAGGGCGCGCGGCCGCCGGTCAGCACGGGGCGGGCTGAGGGCTCCGAGCGCGGGCACGCAGCGCCGGGTGCACGCGGACGTGTGCCGTGTGGACGGTAGCGAGCGCCCGCTGTGTAGGAGATGGAGCCCTGCCGGGGAGGGGACACCGAGTTCCAGGACAGTGGGCACGGTTAACGTTGCAGCCCGTGAACTAGGGGGCCTTGGATAAGACTTTTAGAATGATGCATTATGGAGGTTTACGTGTGCGTTTGGTGCATTTATGGATTGCATATTCTATGCAGTGGAGCCTTTTGATTTTTGTTTTTGATTTGAGACGAGGTCTCGCTATTTTGCCCAGGCTGGCCTCTTACTTCTAGGCTCAAGCGAACCTCATGCCTCCACCTCCAGAGTAACCTATAGACCTGCACCATCGCGTCCCACACTGGAATCTTACCGCAGAGTTAAGTTCTGAGTTCAGTGTACAGGGTAGAAATTCCTTGTAGACAGAAGTAATTTTCTTTTCTAGTTTTCTGGGGTTTTTTTGGTACTGGGGGTTGAACCTAGGGGCGCTTTACCATAGAGCTATATCCCCCCCTCCCCCCAGTCTTTTTTTTTTTTGAGACAGAATCTTCAATAAGTTGATTAGAGCCTGGCTAAATTGCTGAGGTTGGCTTTGAACTTGTGGTCCTCCTGCCTCAGCCTCCCGAGTAGCTGGGATTATGGGTGAGCACCACCAGACCCACGGGAAGTTTCTCCTTGGGCCAAGATAGGAATCTCTCAAGAGTCCAAGGTAGCCAGTTTAACACCAGATCGTCTGTGGAGCTTGAACTCTGTCATTTGGTGTAAAGGGAATTTTATTCCCCTAAAAAAATTTTGTTTTGAACAACGTTTGCTAGAGTCCCTCCCAGAAAGAAAGAGGCTGTCCAAATGAAGGGCCTGGCCTCTCAGGCTTATCTTCATTCCTGTCAGGGAAAATCTGGCTCCACCAGAATTGGAAAAGATGACTGTGTCCTAGTTGACCACTGGATGATTTAATGGGCTTGTATTTGGGAACCAGCTTGTATGTTCCAAGCATTTACTTGACTTTAATCCGTCAACTTAAAGTCAGCACACTGAGATGTACCCTCTTGGAGAAGCACATGGAAAGAGGCCACTGGGGGAAGAATAAGGCCTGTCTGTAATTTACTCACTCTAGAGCAAATACCCCTTGAAATATTCTGAAATTTTTAAATTGTAATTTTTGTTGCTGTGTGTTTGAGTGTAGATGAATTCACATAAATCAAATGCAAACATGACATGGTTCTGCTCAATAAGTATATTTGTGAAAATATAGTTCTTTTGGCATGTGGACAAGTTCTCCACCTCTCCAGGAAAGCTTATCTACTTCTTCATTCTTGATTAACTGGGAGATAAATACAGTGTTGGGGTAGCACAGGATTTAGTTGGAAGAAAGTAGAAAATTGTTGGTAGGAGTGTTGTATTTGCTGGCCTTTGCCTCGTGTTCATTACTATATATTTTTCCCACTCTTTGTCTTTAGACAGAGGTTCTGGGACTCATTTGGTCACCATGATTAGAAAATCTCACTTTTTAGGAAGTGATTCGTGTTTCCTGCTTAGTGGTTTAGCTGATGCACCTGCGCACGGTGTAATCTCAGTGAGGTGGTAAGGCAGGGACCTGACCTGTCCTGGCATTCTCCCTTCATCCTTGACTTCAGGAATATGTCAGTGCTCCTCACAGCCCTGGACCAACACACGATTGCTTGTATTCTCAAATTGCTTATTTTCTTCCCATCAGTCTGCTTCCTGCATATTTTCTAGCCCCCGACCAGCCGAGTTGTTAGCCTGAGGACTTTTTATCCTGACCTGGAGACCTTTCAGCTGACCATCTCGCTGTCCATAATCTTCCTCATTTCAGGGGCAAATCAGCACTGTCATATCTTAGCCAACTCTTAATTTGGCAGGATGTTTTATTTAGCTCCTCCTTTCTAAATGAGAGCTTTTCATTCTCTCATTGATTCACTCACTCATTCATTCATTGAATATACATTTTGGGAACACCAGATAGGTGCCAGACTGTCAGTTGGAGGATGGTATACAGTGAACTAGTGATCTGGCAGAGAGATAGAGATGTGCAAACAGTTAAATAGCCCAGTGTTTATAACTAGAGTGGACACATAATATGTACAAAACGGGGTGTGTCAGTAGGCAAGGGAGAAGCTGAGTTGCCTTCAGCGAGGCTGAGTCTGAAGGAGGCTTCTCTCGGCACTACCAGCATTAAATAAGAATTTTCAGTCAGAGGGAGCAGTGTATATGAAGACGGAAGCCTGAGAAAGGAGGTGTCTGTAGGGAACTCCAGATGGTTTGGCAATGTAAGCTGACATTTTCATATAAGGCAGGGTGGCAGTTGGGACAGATGACCACCCTGTTGGCCAAAGCCTAATGTAAATTGTAATTTTTCCATCTTTTACAGCCATCCCAATGGAAAATGCTTCGACAGGAACTGTTGAAGTACCTGGAATGCTTCTTGACTGCTGTCATTAGCGGGTGCCAGATGTCTGCCCCACCCAACAGGACTGAAGCCATATGGGAAAATTTTATAACTTGCCTAAAGGATCAAGAACTGATATTTTCTTCAGCACTCAAGGCCCCATATTGCTATCTCTTAGCAAAAACTGCTGTTTCTAGACCTTTATTTTTGGTTTTAGATGACAACTTTTATTATCAAAGTATGAGATACGAAGTCTTCCAGCTGGCTCGGAAATGTAATTAAAACATTTTTTCTTACACATGGAAACAGTTATTCATATATCAATCACTGTTGTCTTCAGTAAGAATTTAATTGGATAGGAGGTTTATACAGATTTAATTTTAAAAGTGAGGTGTTCAGTATTACAGATGGAGTTTTTCCTGCTTCAGCTGGGATAGTTTGTCTAATATATGTTAACTTCACATTTTGGAAAGATAATAGACCAGTAACTTGATGATTTTAACTGTTTTCAGATTCATTAGGCTTTTGCCAGCTCTTTTTAGATTGTCCCCTTGAGACCTGCTTGCAGAGGAATGGCCAGAGATTACGAGCCCTGCCTCCTGAGACCATTTATGCAATGGGGGAAAAGATAGAAAAGCCCAACCCTCAGAAAAATGCTTGGGAACACAACAGCCTCACAATTCAGAGTCCAGCATGTTCTTTGGAGAGCAGGTATGCTACTCAAAGCCATCTTTCCTTGGTGCCCCCTGTGCCAATGACTGTGCTTAGTAAATATTTTACCTATCTCGGTTTGGCTGATCCTTACGTAGCTCTGGAGGACTATTGTGCGTAAGAGCAGTTTGGTCCCAGGTCTTAAGAACCTGTCACCTATGTCTATATCCACATAGTCACAGGGTAACTGTCGAAGGGGAAGTGTGGAGTCTGGTGGTCCTGTGTTGAAGTTGAAAAATGACCTGATAAAGGTACCTTTTCCAGACTTCAACAAAGTAAATAATAAGAGTTATTGATCACATTCTACGTATTGGGCATGTTCTGGACTTTTATATGTATGGTCTCATTCAATCTTTTTTAAAAATATTTTTTAGTTGTCGATGGACCTTTAATTTATTTATTTATATGTGGTACTGAGAATCGAACCCAGTGCTTCACACATGCTAGGCAAGTGCTCTTCCACTGAGCTACAACTCCAGCTCCCTCATTTGATCTTTATAATAACACTTTAAGAGGGGAAACTATAATTCCTATTTTTTTTCCATAGGATAACAGGCCCAGGAAGTGACATACCCAGGTAGTTGAGTGGCCAAGCCCCCTGCAGTCTCACTTTAGAACCTGAATTCCTACTGTGAGAAAAATCATCGTGAGGTTGAGACTCAACATGATGATCTCACTGGCTTACCATTTCAGTCCTCCATGTACTCTGAGTAAAATTCAAACTCCTGACCCTTACTTACATGTTCTAATAGCCCTGACTCTCCAGCTTCATATTCTACCACTTCCCCTCTCCACTTGCTACTTTTAAACTAAACTGGTCTTTTCCTGTGGCCTCTGTACTTGCTCCCCCGCTGCGTTTCCCACATATTTAAGCTGACTGCCTTGTCTGACTAGGGTGAAGGAGTCACTCTCTTACCATTATCACCTTATTTATTGTCTTCACTCACCTATCCATTACTGTTCAAAATTATTTTTGCTTAATTAATTGATGTTTCCCTCCATTATATTACAGGCTTGGCGGGGTTAGGGATCTTTTTACACCCCAAATCAGCACATAGTTCTACATAAGCAGTTGTACAATATTTTTCATATGAGAAGCTCAATAAATATTTAAGTGAATGAATGAATTCTACCTCAGTCCTCTCTGGACCCTTGACCAGTGAGGAACTTTGCTAATCCTTATCCAGTAAATAAGCAGAAGACAGACCTTCTTTCATCAGAGACTAAAGACTAAATGATGGGCTATATAGGCTATATGATAGCCTATATAGCCCAACATTTAATAGGGGAAGATAGGGGATAACTTTTCAAAGCTTACTGATGAGTCTTAGGAAATTAATATTTTAATTAATTTAATATTTTGTAAACGAGGGAGGTTTGGACTTATAATTGTTTTTGTATTTGGATTTTGCAAATGGAAGATACTTCCAAATCAGTTGAGTTCTTCCCCTTTTTACTAATGATCTTGGGTTGTAGCAGTTTTACTCCTTTAGAATTCAATTCAGTATTAATAAATACTTGGTCTTTAAGAACAGAAATGTTCACCATAAGGAATTATTGTATTTTATTCCACTTTCTCTGTAGCCTGGAGGTGACTGATTTATTATTGCTTACTGCTTTGGAAAATCCAGTAAAAAATATAGAGGACAATATGGAACAAAAGGTAAGTCTTCCAGTAGGAATTCAGTGTAAATGAGAAGGAAAACTTTTCAGATCTTTTTGAGCTTTAAGTCAGATGTAAAGAAGCTTTGTCAATGGCTTGGCGTCTTGCCAATATTCAGCACCTGACACCTGGATGTAGTGGTGACCTTAGGTGGCTTGTGCCATCTGGCCAAAACTTCATCTTCAGAAACACTGGAGCCTTTTGACATTATATTGGTAGCTTGAAATGGACAAGGATAGTAAATTTACACCACAAAAATAAGCAAACACTACAGAGAGGTTTGGGGGATTACTTTTTTCCCTGGAGAGCCAGTCAGCAGACACTCTCCAGCAAGTGGATATCATTCCTTTAGACTCTCTCCTAAGGAAAATTAACAAACAGGAAAGCCACTTTACTTTTCATTTAATCTCATCAAATGGGTCACCTACATTTAGCCATTTATTTGATAAACTAACTAGCTATTCCAGTAAAAATAATGATAATAATGTCTGTATTTACATAGGAAATGGACAGAATTATTTGTTCAACTAATGTTCTTCATAAAGCTGATCAGACACTCCGAAGAATTGTCTCTCAGACAATGAAGGAAGCAAAAGGTCTGTTGACAGTAGGGGGCTGTAGTTGATGTAGTTGACTTGTGACTGTTGTGTGCTATAATTCATGTGATATTGACTATTGTTGTGGCCATTTCCTGACACTCAGGTGGTTTATAAGGTTCCAAACTTCACATCCTGCTTAGTTTAAAATTGCAATTTGGTGACACATTGCAACCAATAAGGGCAGTAAGCAAGAAGCAGGACATTCTAGTGAGGAGACAAAAAGGAATGATGTGAAATATATGTCAGTGCTTTGAAGAAAAAGTAGGCCAAGGCAATGTTGAGTGATGGGTTTATAATTAAAAAGGTAATCAGAAAGGCTTCTTAGACATAACATTTAAACCCAGATGTGAGTCATGAGAAGAACAAGCCAGGCAAGAGACCTGAGGGTTCCAGGCAGTGGACATATGATGTGCCTAAGTCCAGATGTAAAGCCATCTGAAATGTTCTAGAACAGGAAAGAAGCCATTGAGCCTGAAGTGACACAGGAAGGCAGGGGAGAGGTAGGCAAGGGCCAGATAGGTGTAAGATTTTCATGGAATTCTGAGCAAGATTGATGTACAATCGGAATTTAACTAATAGATGAAATATGTAGTTCCTTCAGGTTTGGAATATTTAACTATAAATTTTTACTTGCAGAAAAAAAAAAAAAACAGCAGCTAGCATTTCTTTAGTTCTCTTTATAAGCTAAGTGCCTTACACTCTCTAATCTTTACATCTGTAAGGCAGGTGTGCTTTTACAAGGGGCAAATGCAGGTTCACAGTGGATCAAGTAACTTTCCCAAGACTGAACAGCTGCATCACCAGCACTTACTAGTACCCTAACAAAAGATTAGAACATTGGGAAAGGAAAAAACATACTAACCATGTTGTGTTTCTCAAACTTTTAAAAAAATCCATACTTAATTAGCTCTTACATTGTAAACCAGTATGTAACATGGTACATAAACTCAGGCATGTCTACAAGTTTCACAAAATACCCTCACATGTATAACGAATTCTGCTGTTTTAATTTCATTTTAGAAAAACAGTGCCATACACCACTAATGGGTTACGATCCAGAATTTATAGCAAAGGTCCAGAACAGAAACGGGAGCATAATTAGAAAATAATAAAAAGTAGTTCCAGGAGTTCTCTCTTAACCGTTGCCTTTCTTCTATTCTATCTTATGCCTAAATCTGTATTAACTATTTCCCACCTATAAAAAAACTCTTAAGGGGATCCAAGGTAGTTAGTCTAGTTTCTAAATCTGTGTTTAAATAAAATTGAAAATTCAGTTCCTCTATCAACTGACAGGTGAGAAAATATTTGCAAACTTATAGCTTGTAAGGAACTTGTATATATCCATATATAAAGAAAGAACTCTTATAACTCAGTAAATAACTCAATTTTTTAAAGGGACAAAGGATCCTAATAGACATTTCTCTAATGAAAGTATATAAATGGTCAATAACCACATGAAAATACATTTGACATCACTTAGTCATCAAGGAAATACAAATCAAAACCATAAGGAGACACCACTTCAAGCCTAGGTGACATTGGTGATGTGGAGAAATCTGAACCCTCATGCCCTACTGCTGGGAATGTCAAATGATGCAGCTACTCTGGAAAACAGCCTAACGGTTCCCTCAAATGTAGTTACCATGTGGCCCAGCAATTCTGCTCAAGGTCTATATTCTCAAGAGAAATGAAAATAGATGCTCACACCAGAACTTGTACATGAATGTTTATACCAGCATTATTCATGATAGCCAAAAGATGGAAACAATCCAAACGTCCATCTGCTGATAAATGAATAAACAAAATGTGGTCTGTCCACACAATGGGATATTATTCAGCCAAGGAATGGAGTATTGATATAGAATACAACATGAGAAAACATGCAAAGTGAAATAATCATAAACATTTATTATATGATTCTAGTCATACGAAATGTCCAGAACAAGGAACTTTTGAGACAATTAGGGATTAAGAAAGGGGTAGGAAAAAGGGAAGTTAGGAGAGTGATAGCCAAAGGGTAGAGGGTTTTTAGATTATGAAAATGTTCTAAAATCAACTTTAGTGATGGTTGTATTATATGACTATATGAAAAAGCACTGTATTATACAGTTAAGTGGATAAATTTATGGTATATGAATTAAATCTTAATAAAGCTAATGGTCAAGTTGAACTTCAGATTCTCAGTAATAGTGCCTGAATGTCTAGCACCTACTGTATTGAATAGGATAGAGAACTTAGAAGAATCCTTTGTGTGATATAATCAAATTAATTTTCAGCCTAGATTTGCAGAAATAATTTGAGAATATTTTTTATTTTAGATGAACAAGTACTTCCTAACAACTTGAAGCTTCTAGCAGAAGAACTTAATAAGCTCAAAGCAGAATTTCTGGAAGACCTAAGACAAGGAAACAAATATCTATGCTTTCAACCAACCACTGACCTATCAGATGTCACTTCTTTTTTTTGTAATGAGAAACAATATATTGTACAGAAGTATTTTTCAAAACAACATTAAAATTTCAGAATTTCCAACTGTTTGATTTTGACGAGCTTTTGCAGATAAGTAATTTTGTATTAGTGGGTGTTTTCTAGGCCAATAATGTGACCTGCTAAAGACCATTCTTTCAAAGAAAACAGTCTATTCTAAAGGACCCATTAGTCATAACAGAAATCACTTCAGTCACTTATCAGGTATGACATGGATAATTAAGCATCTGAGGTGGCCCTCCTCATTGATGTGCCAGAACCCTTAGGGCATAGAAGTCAGGTTAAATGGATCTTGAATAAAGAGGGTAAGCTAGGATGGAGGCAATTGTACATATGTGGGGCTATTTTTGTTTTTAACTTGGTGATAGATCTTTTCATGGTAAGGCATTCTAGAAATTCAAACCAGAGTACCCATAAAATCTTTTTCTTTTATTAACTTAACATTTTACATACCAGAAAATTACTAAAAAACTAATTTATTTCTAGTTTTCAAAAAAGAAAAATCAAGGTCATTAGAAAGTGTTATTTTTTTATTCATATATTACAAAAGCAAAGCTTCATTCACCATTTAAACTACATACTAGATATAATTATTTCAGCATTAAACTGTTTCCTGGATTCCTAAAGAATATAATGTATTTTACAACCATAATGCAAGATTTATGCTTTGCATACAAAATATGTTCTTTACATCAAAGTACATATTAACAAAAACAAGTTGTAGAAAGTATATACCCTCGAAGATTAAAGAAAAAGTCTTTAGCAGGGAATTAAAAAAATTTTAACAACACGCTCATTTGATAAATAATTTTGTAGAACTTAAAATTAGGTTTCTCTCTCTTTATTTTTAGTAATATTCCCTTTGTCAATCAATTCTGCAGATGAAGGGCAAATATTTTTTTCTAAAACGAAACAGCACAAAAAATACCGAATGGAGTTTTTTCAAAGTAAAAGTCTAGCTAGCCTTTACTTGATTTTCAAGAAGTTGCAGCTACATACTACATTAGTAAAATCTGAAATAAAATTATTCCCTGTTAATCTCTTCACAGTTTCTTAAAAAAATATTAGTGGAGATAAATTATCTACAAACTTTAAAGATCTAAACTCATGTTCACTGAACAAAAATAAATTTAGTTTCAGAACATTGCCTGTTAATGGCAAAGTACTATAAATAGTGCATGTTAAACTCTTCCTAACTCATTTCTATAAAATATTTGATTAAAAATAAAATGAAATGAACATTTAAGGGAAGATTCTAACATCTTTCCAAATACACAATTCAACTCAGGAAGTTTAAATAAAATACTAAATCTTTTAAAAAGTACAATTCCAAAAAAGTTTCTAAGGTAGATTTGCTTCAAAAATTTTAGTGCATTTAGAAAGAATTGTAGCTTTGAAGCATCAACACCTTTGGAATACCAACTGTGCTCTTTTAAGTGGTAGGAAAATTATAATTTTACATTCTAGTTTGTAATTATGAAAAATATTTTCCATTTAAATTAAAATGTACCTTTAAAACATCCATCTTTAGTTGTTAGAAAAAAATGTATTTGTCACTATTTGGCCCATAATCTACAATTAATAAGCTTGTTTTCAGAAGAGTTACCCCTCTTTGTTTAATGAAAATTTCTGTTTTCTGTTTTGGGCTATTGCTTTTATTTGAATAACATAGAAAACAAATAAAATTGCAAAAGTTTCCAAATGACAACTTGTTTCTTTCTGACAAATGATAAATACTAAAGCCAAGTTACACATTTGGAAACTGCACTAAAACTGATCTAAGCAGTGGTGATTCAAGCAGGAGTGAAATCAGAACTTAAGGTCACAAGATTTGACAGCAAGTGAGTTCCAGTTTGGAGAAAGTGTCCTTGAAGCTGTGCTTTAAACAAGGCAGTGGAGATTAGCCTAGATTGGCTACTCAACCACAAGCACTCACTCTAATGGCTTTCAAGCACTGCAGTGAGGCAGAGGGCTCTTTTAACTTGGCACTTGGGGCTTAGCAGATACTATCAATATTTCCCTTTTATTTATTATAAGAGTAAGGATGCTTTTTTGTTTAACAAATGCTTAATAGCATATTTTCTTTAAGAATCCAATTATGTTTATTTTCAAGATATGAACCAAGTTAAAAATAAATTTTTTGCAAAATACACAGAAACCAAGTTAGTAACAATATATTTTATTGTTTGACCAAACTCTCTTCGGAGTAAGCTAGTTATTACACAATATAAAAACAATAGCCTCCTGTTCAAAATGAATTACTCTATTTAACAAGCCTTACTTGTATAAATAAATTAAATGGCATGTTTAAATGAATTTTATATCCATTTTTACACCTTTATCCTTTTCTATTAAGGGGACAATTCAATCAGTTTCCATATGGTATTGTCACTGTACATGAAGACTGGTAAAACTGCAAGTAAATATTACAGTTTGAATTCACAGAAAATATTTTAAATGGCCATCTCTGAAGAGAAGACCAGGATCTCTTCTGGATACAAATTCTTATTTTTATTAAGTATTACTTTACTATCACATTTCCCCATGTGTTTCTATACCCACCTTTTCTTGGATATTATGGGCAATAAATGGATAGAAGGCAGGAAAAGGAAACTTTGGAGATTTTTTTGAAGGACTGCATCTTAATAATAAGATGAATGACTTCCACTGTACCTCTTTGGTCATCAAAGGAATAGGAAGAAACAGATTCTCACCATACCAACTTCACCTGACACTAAACATCAGAAGGAAGAATTTAAATGAGAAGTTCAAAATGAAAAGAAAATGGCATCTAGTGGTTTTTAAAAACAAACTGCCAACTATTAGAAAAAAATCCAATGGAAAACTGACATGTTTAAAGTAGACATGAAATAAACAGGTTATTTTAAATATTAAACACAATTTTCAATTTAAAATCTTGAGTTTTACTTCTTTTCAGAACTTTGACCTATTTTTATAACTTTAATTTTAAAATAATTGTTTTACATTTTCCCTTGTAGAAAAAAAAAGGTTTACTATTATCAGTTGAAATCAAACTACTAATTCAACTTAAGATATGTGAACTAAATAGTACTTTAATTAAGAATAATTTTAAAGGCCAATTTCTCTACAAACACTGAAATAGGTTGTAACAGATTTTGTAAGAGAAAATAATTTACTCTACCATTTTGAAATATGGCAGAAGTAACATCTGGCTATACTGTATATACAGAAATAGCAAGAGTATGGATAAGCCTTCAAGTCTCTATGGACCATAAATGTGGGAAATGTAAAAGAACACCTGTTAAAATTATGATTGTACTCCAATTCTCACATGTATAAATGAAAGGGAAAAACAGATATCAATAACTATTCTAATACATAAATGACCCTGACTAAACTTTTATGAAAAAAATTTTCCACTGTCAAATTTATATTCTATAAATATAATGCATAAACTTTAAATTAGCAGACACCTCATTAGGGATAACCAAAAAAACAAAAAACAAAAAACTACAACCCGCAGAAGGCCAAACCAAGTAAAACATAGTGATTGTTTTCAGTGTTGGTTATGTTGCCCTCTTGCAAAATGACAGGCGAAATCATACTTGTTTTTACATTTGCATCCACATATATTACACTGGAAAGGATTTTCATACCCATGACACCCCATGTGAATAGTGTAAAGGATATTGTCTGCAAAGTACATGTCACAGTGCTGGCAGTGGTGCAGAAGCTGAGGATCCTGGACCGGCAGGGTTGGGGCTGGAGTGCTTGGCTGGCTGTTTCCTATGCTGGGAGTACTAGTGTGGGCACTTGGTTCACTGCTTGGACCTGCCACTGGACTATAGTTCCTCTGACTATGTGATGGCCGAGGTTCAGGGCTTGTGGGAGAGGAGCTCTGAGGAATACTTGCTGATACAGCAGAAACCACCGCTTGGGCAGAGGGCTGCTGAATCATGAAAGGCTTTTCATCTGGGCAGGGAACGACATCAGGGGATGCAGGGTTTTGGTTTTCAGGTGGCAAACTGGACAACTGTCCTGCTAGAGTTGAGAGCTGATTTAAAGGGTTGTCAACCATGAGTTCTTGGGGGTCCCTCGGTAAGCCACCAGTTGGTGTTGTTTTTGCTATACTTTCATAGGAGTCAGTCTGGATACTTGGGATTTCATGGGTAAAATCATTAAGGTAGTCTGGTTTCTGAACCACCATGGAAGGTGGACTTAAGTTGATTAGTGCTCTTCTGCTATACCCCAGATTGCTTGTTTTCTTCTGTAAAACCCCCCACATTTTCTTGCTGCTTAAGGAAGACCTAGTACCTTTAATTGGTACCATTTTATGCTTGCGCCTTCGATGATGAGACAGGTTACTTCGATCACTGCAGCGGAAGGAACATAATTCACATTTGTATGGTTTTTCTCCGGTATGGGAACGCATGTGGGCTTCCAGATGACGCTCATAAGCAGATGCAAATGGACACAAGTGACATCTATGTGGTTTCTCACCTGTTTAAAAGGAAAAATGGGGGAGAAACTGCAAGAGTAGCTCATTTATGGAAAGTTCCATGTTTGTCCATTCATTGGATTTGGGAATTGGTCGAAAATATAATGTTTTTAAGAAATTCACATTTGCATAAAAGATTATTAAAGTCTGTAAAGAAACCTGCAAGTTGAAATAAAACCTAAGAACTCATCTGCAACAATTTGAAATATACATTTAAATTCTATTAGTCAATATAGTTATAGCTTTAACTGGCATTTGGGGAAAGAAGAAATAGCCCAAATGACAATAATATTTGCTACATGATTTTATCAATAGTATGCCTCAGAGAAATATATTCAAGCACATGACCATACATAAACAATTATATATCTATATTCATAGATATACACATTTATGCATACCCTTTCTTCAGGGGGAAAAATACAAAAAAAACCCACTTTTTTTTTAAAAGTCCTTATATAAAATAAAAAGTTCAAAATCAAAATGAGCTTGCTAGTCCAAGTATGAGTTATGCAAATTATCCCTTCAAAACTGCCAGCACTTTTCTTCTACCTTCCTACTCTTTAGTTCCCAGAAGGCACGATTTTAGTTTATGCTGTTAGCTGAAGACTCCCCAAGTACGCAGAATAAACAT